GATATGAATTCCTGGGGTATTTATAGGATTCCTTGCCAGTGTGGTTTAATTTACATTGGCCAAACTAAGAGATCCTTAAAATTTCGCGTCAAAGAACATGAGGCATATGTTAGAAAAAAGGAAACACAGAGGTCTTCTGTTGCTCAACATTGTTGGTCCGAAAATCACACTTTCAATTTTCTGCTGCCAAAATTATTCAAAAAACATCTTCCATTGGAGAACTGGATTTTCTAGAGGCATTTCACATTCATAAAAAATCTTTCTGTTCTAGTTAATGATCCTAATTCCAATCCAAATTTGCCTTCGGATTTTAGAGAGAAATTATGTTTTAGTTCTGGTTTCGCCAACAGATGGCGCCACTTGCTTATTCTTGTCCAGGCTTTCTTATCTTATCTAATCATTATTTCCTATCTTGTTCATTTGCGGTTTTGCAGCTGAAGATGATGGTTCGGTAAAACCATCGAAACTAGTCCTGTGAAAATTTTGTAGGTATAACGCTGATTTTTGTTTTTTGACTTCTGAATTAGTATTTATTCGGCGTGTTATTGTGTCTTAATCACATTCACTAAGGTTACAGATCTTTCATCCTCACAAGATTTGGTTACCTAGGATATGAACTGAGTATTAGGATACTCTTCTTTGGAGTCAATGAGAACCAAGTGAACCAACCAGGTGCATGGCATAATGGAAGAACATAGTCGTTATACCATACACCTGAGCTCAAAAGTGAGTGCTTAGTATCCCAGTTGCCAAGAATGACTATGAAGAGTATCCGGCAAACAAGACTCTCCCTCACTCCTGCATTATTTCTTTTAACCAGTGAAGTCCAGACTATCTGCAGCCAAAGTTGTATTTTTTGCCCGAGAAGGAGCTTCATGAGGTGGCCATATCAGTCAAGGGATGGCTAAGGATGAAAGCAGCCTTTGTACTAGCTCCTATTTAGTATAGGAAAACAGAGGTTCAAAACCTGCTGGCAATAGAAAGGGCCCACGATCAGCTCCCAATTCTTTTTCTTTTACACAACAAGTTTGGCCAAATCTGCTCTCTCCATCTATGCAACTTCTCAGAAAAAGACAGTTTCTTCACTCCCCCAGTAAAATTTTTGACTGCTGAAGAAAAATTAAAATTCTTTGCCAGTATCTTAATTCTGAATCCTACCTTTCAACAACTGAAGCCATGGTCATAAATGACTAACACCCCACAACAGAGCATTGATTCCTATGAGAAATGAATTCGAATCTGCTGTTATCTTTTGAAATAAAAGTTTAATTCAATAAAGGCAGTGTAAAGTTTCATCCAGTCTACAGCCAGAAAATCATTTTACAAAAAGGGAATTAACTGACTATTCCCTTTCTTTTTTTTATTTAATTATGCAGTTAATATTTATAACTTCAGATTTAAAGGCTGAAAAAGAAAAGCAATAAGGATACATTTAAAAATTAAAATATTCACACTTTTTTCATTATTTGAATCTTTTAATTTTAACCTAAAAATCTGTTAAACATTTTAACTAAAACCTTATGACTAGTTTTATATATGTTCTATACAAGCATTCATTAAAAAATACACAACCACTGCAATTTTGGTGGACGATCATCATCCCGTGATGACCCTGACTACTACACAATACTCTGGGAAGGATTCAGTATTTCATATTTAACCCGCAGGAAGGCGCGTGGGGTGTATCATACCCTAACCCTACATAAAAGTGGAATATTCCTAACTTGTGAAACTGAAATTCTGTGCTGCTTTCAGTAGCTGAGTTTCTAGTTGTGGTTGACTTTCAGAACCGCTTTTTCTTTGCCTGTGTGTTTCAGAAAAATATTTATAGGTATTTTGTTAGAACTGGGGTATGACACACCCCACGTGCCTGTCCGTGTGTTTTTCTGACTGAATATTTAGTTCAAAAATTTATTTCTAGAGTGTAACAGTAAATATTTCTACTCGCAAGTGATTTTAAAGTACATGACATTAAATTCTTAAAAATTTCTAACTGCATTATGGTAAAAAGAAGTAGTCCCTATGAACTGGAGATGCAATGCATGCGAGATTTAGAAATATTTGAAAGCGATGAAGATTGCATTTCGGAAACTGAAGATGAAACTAAGAATATTTTCTACAATGTTTTGGTTTCAAAAAAGAAAAAACATTAATTCCTGATGTTCCTAAAAAAGGAAAAACTGTTCTTATGCTTTATATAATGATCATTATAACATTATATAACGATCATACTATAGATGATACTATTGGAGAAAATAAAACGTTAGGAATTATATGTTTTAATAATATGACTAAAGGAGCAGTGGATAAGGGGGATGAAATGTCAGTCAATTATTCAATTGCCAGAATAACGAGAAGGTGGCCAATGGTAATTTTCTTTCCTGCACTGAATGTTGCTGTAATAAATGCTTGAATTATATTACATTGAACTGCTAATCCACCAACAAGAAACATGTCTGTTTTTGAAGGACTTAGCATTACAATTAAGGCGCGTGAAAAAAAAAAAAAAGTATTGAACAAAGATCAGAGATTAGAGATTAATACTTTTCCAAGAAATTGACGTACTGCATGCAAAACAAAAGCAGAAGTTTCGATGAAGAATTAAAACGAATACATGAAATTAGAAACAACTAAGTATGAAAGATGTGTTAAATTTTTTGCCCTCGTGCCAAGGACAGAAGAACGTGAATGCAATGTTTAAAATGTGAAAACATTCTGTGCTAAGAACACATGAATGTATTTTGTTCAAAGTGGAAAGAAATAAAAAAAGCATGGTGTATTAGAGATGCAATGAAACTTAGAGGCATGATGTTTATTATTTTCATTTATCTTAATTTTAACTCTAAGATTATTTCAGAAATTAATTTTTTGAAACCCAATTATTATTCACTTATTTATAATACATGAGAACACACACACACACACACACACACACAAAAGTTTTAAAACTAAATAATACTATTTTTATTGTATTTTAAATATTGGGGTATGTGATACCCCACGCGCCCGTTCTAGTAACTTTTCTTGGTGCGCCTTCTGCCGGGTTAATATTTATCTGTGTTAATTCTTGAAATAACCCTACATTCTCTACATTTGCTTCAACTTAAAAAAGAATATCGAAAATTTACTATTAATGCATTGCATTAAAGTACAACCACATTTCAGCTTAAAAATAAAAGAATACATCATTAAACCAATAATATGTATGTATCAACATCTACTCGAGAAAAATTAAAAAAAGCAATGTGTTTGAAATCATAACTATTGTAATTAATTATTCTAAACTGTTACTTGACAGTCACATCAAAATAATTTTTAATGTGGTTTCATGACTTTAGAAAGTTATAGTGGCTCCACATTAAAATGCATTAGCATACTGCATACTGACATTTGTATTTTTTTTTTAAATATTTTATACAGATAGATTCTACCACATACTTATGAAGTTTAGTCTAAATGTGATAAACATAATTTGTACAAAGCAATCTATGTATACTGTATGATTTATAATAAAAAACAAATTTGGATGTACAGCTAAATTTGACATAATTAATGACATAAAAATTACATTAAAATTAATTTGCTTTTTATAAGAGACCTAATTTTTAATACCGTATGATTGAGATAGTTTTCTTTTACTCACTTTACAACTACTTTAAAGAGAACTTTAACACTTATACACCATAAAAAGGATACTCTCTGATTATTCACAACATCCTGAAAAGTATTCACCAGGCAACCTGCTATGTAGCTAAAACAGCCAACCCACGACTTCATCAAAATGTATTTATGTAGCAACTCGGTAATGCCTGAGTGTGCAGTAGACAAGCCAGCCTTATTAGTGTTTGTTTTTGTTTCATTGATCCCAGGCATTAATGTTTGTTCTTGTTGCACTGATTACATTTTTTTTTTCCCTCATAAGGAACTGTAACCGGACTCTGGAGTTTGCTGGCTGATGAAAAAGGAAGTGTTGCATTGCTTCAAAAATATGGCTTTTGATCTAACATATTCCATGAAGGTGTATTTCATAAATGATTGAATTATATGCATCAAAATTTGTGCAATTATCCAATTTTTTTTTTTTTTTTGAACAAAAACAGATTGCTGCATACATGGAAAAGCAATAGCATGTGCAATGCCAAATTTGTACAACTCTCTAATTTTAGCCAATTGCTGTGTACCGGGAGCAATTGATAGTATGAAGTCCCAAGCTATGTTGATGACAAATTTTCGCAATTCTCCGATGTTCTCAAGTTAAAACAGATCATTATGTACATGCGGAAAACAATGTAAAAATAAAGGTTGGTGTTTTATTATGGATGTTTCTTGCATTTTTAGTTTTGTTAATTGGTTGCTGTTTATGTAATTATTAGTGTTACTCTTTTGCATCTTAGCTTGTCAAAAAATCAGTTGCCAATGGTTAGCGATTTTTCTAGAAGGAGGTATAGGCAATCAGAAAGTACCTAAAGAGTTAAAATTTCTAATTATTCAAAAATTTATTTAATTTTTACAACAATGCAGTTAACTACTGCTACTGCTTAGCTATTACAGCCTATAATTTTTTATGTTTGTATGTAAAAATTATAGGCTCATATTTTAAATGGAACATTTTCTACAACCAGTTGTCTCAAACTGGCACCCCCCAAAGCAATTTAACGTGGCCTGCAAATGCATTTCTTATAAAATAAATAGCATTATTATGACAAGAATTTAAAGAAAGGTTTAAGATTACAATGATAATTAAATATGAATGCAAGTAATGCTCCAGGAGTTCTATAAATGGATTTAATTAATTTACACTGAAAACTAAAACTACACTAAAACTTGATCAATGATTTAAAGATACGTATTTGATTAACCCTTTTTCATTACTTGTGAAAAAATAAATACCCTCAGTTCCGAATTTTTGCAATAAGAATAATTGCTTTATTTGAGAATGCATGTATAAGACAATAGTTTTTTTTGGCACCTAAAAGTTAATACATCTTTAAAAAGAAAAGAAAAGGGGGAAAAAAAAAAGAACCAGGCTAGTCAATAAGCATCTATAAATTTGATAAAGATAGCTTCTAGTAATTTTTCTCCTAAGTTACAAACATTAACAAAATGAAAATGCCATGAGATGTTGTAGATAAAAGCTACAGGGGAAAAAAAAAAAATAATAATAATAATAATAATAAAGAAGTTTACTATTGTTTGCAGACAAAATATATACATTTTCAAGTTACAAAAATATATGTACATGACAAAGAAAAATTTAATAAATAATACAAATGTAATAGACTGTCATTATTTATACTCAAGTTTTAGTAATTTGTTTATTTTTAATTTAAGCAAGTTGTTTAATGATTATGTAGTGATCTCAAGAGCCTATCAAAGCAAATTTGAAAGAGTCAGAATTCTTGAACCCAGTGCACAGGAGCTCATTTGTGCTAATGGTAGAAAATTCAACTTGTATAAAACAGACTGTGGATCGAATCCCAAGGTCATTACTACCTTCAAATTCATGCAAAATTTGTGCTCTACCACACTTTTCATTAGTGCGAACAGATGGTAACACGAGCAAGCAATTAGAATTAAATCTTTCATGCCATGCAATCACTAAAATGGCAACCTGGTGAACTACACACACTTTCCCACAGAGAACAAATGATGAACTACATCACATGTGACCAAGGCAATCTTTTACACATGCTGCACCTCAAAACTTAACCCCAACACATGTGCCAACAAACAAGGGTCTCTCAAACATGCATCCACGGATCCAAATGAGTACGTCCACAAACCACAGCTATAGCCCATTAATACAGTGATCAATTTCACCAATGAACTGGGCTCACAACTCACTCATATTCACAATGACCAATCATAGCTTCTCTCAGAAATGATTGGGAGGAGAGTGTGTATTGATCTTGAGAGCCACTCAAAGCTTACAAATTTGAAAGAGTCGGAATTCTTGAACCTAGTGTACAAGAGCTCTTTTGTGTTAGCAGTAAAGAATTCGGCTTGTATGAAACAGACCCAGAATCAAATGTCAGGATCATTATCATCTTCAAGGGCATGCAAAACTCGTGTGCTGCGGCATTTCTCATTGGTGCTAATAGATAGTGACATGAAGAAATTACACTACTGGCTATTAAAATTGCAACACCAGGAAAGAATGATCTGATGAATGTCAAAATCACATGAAAATAAGAAGAGGTTAGGATATGCAAATGATTAGTATTTCAGCACATTTAGAGGAAAAGTATATTTAAGGGTACCCCTTGGCGAAACTTGGTGATACATGAATACCAAGTTTGTGCAATTGTTTAATGGCCAGCAGTATACATACCAAGGAGCACACCACCATATGATTGCTACAGTCAACTCTGCACATTAGAACTATTTGAAATAAATGTTGGTCTGGTATATATATATATATATATATAAATTTAATATTTAGCTATTGATACAATCAAATTACAAGGTGTAACCAACAAATATTTCTTGCACATCCCACCCTTTAGATTTCAGGCAGAAAATAAATATAAACTGGAATTTTTTCATTTACATCAATATTGTTAATGTTTATGTACATTTTGATGATAATTTAGTAAATAAAATTTTAAATTTAGTTTAAAAAATTTGTTTTGTAAAAAATTTTTCCTTTTGTTTAAAGCAAATATTCAACCCATCAGCTATTTTGAGACCATGCATTTGGTCCATTTGCAATTTGAGTTTAAGATCACAGCTCTACAGGATATATCTATATAAAAAAATTTCTGCATAAATAAATCAGATTACTATGCATAAATTCAAAAACAAATCCATATTAGAGCAAAAATGGAGGGAGGTCGAAGTATTAAGTTAACAGAAAATTAGTTTGGCAAGTAATTTAAAAAAAAAAAAAAAAAAAAAAGAGATTTGTCTATATAATCTGTCAGACATTTGAAGACACCTTTTTTTTTGGATAAATTAACTGTTTTATTAATTGTCACACTACTTTATTAGATTTTTATGACCATCATTTGTGTCTCATAAAACCAAATATAAATAGAGTTTTTATATTTAAATATAGATTTTTTTTTGCATCAGATATTTTAAAAAGATTATTATTTTCTAGGCAAAACTCATATGTTTATAATATACAGTTTTTGTAATTATAAAGTATTTTACCTGTATGAGGAGAACATGACACTTTTCCACAAATATCTTCCATAATTTCTTCATTTTTAATTGTAGATTTCATTATGTCATCACTTTCGACCATGTTTTCATTTACCTCAGAGCCTAATCTGAAATTTAGCTGCAAGATACTTTTATTATCTAATCTGTCTGAGGAGAAGCAGATATCATTTTCTAGTGGGTGTGCATGTAAATCTAAATGCTTACAATAATCATCCTTGCAGATTTCTGACTTGCTATCATACATTCCATACTTTGCTTCACTGAAGAAACAGTTGAGGGTAACAATGTATAGTTTTCGAATCAAACTAATAGCTTCAGTTTGGTCCTCTTTTGAGAGGTTTTTGAATGCATCAAACAGTTCATTCAACTAAAGGGAAATAAGTTATGAAATTAGTACAATTTAAAAGATAGCAAACATACATATTATATATAAAATGTTCAACAGATATATACAAAATTGATTAAACATATAAGCTTAACATTTTATTTTACATTTATTATCAAAGATATTCACATATAATGATCCTTTTTCAGTCTTGGTAGTATAAATACTATATCTACTAATATCTTTTAACTTTTAAAAGTTATCTTGCAATTTCATACATACTCGATATCCTCCCTATACTTTATTACTCCGAGTACATTTGTGTATTATAGCATGTGTGAGAAATATCTATATCCTTGTCATAAATTTGCATATTAGCATCTTGATCAGTAAAGATTAGAGGTGCTGTGGCATATTGTTGTGCCTGGGTTCTAATATTGGAGAAGGCACGGCTAATCTTTTGAATATGTTAACAGGTAGTTTGGCGACATTTTGGTAAGGCGATAAAGGTTACTAGCTAGGACTTTAGCAGTGTACATGGATTAAAGTCAAGAGTGTGCGCAATGCCATTTTTGTGCAATTCTGGGATGTTTTTTTAAGTGAAAATAGGTCGACGTGTACATGGATGATACCGTGTATGTGCAATTCTTAAAAACGCGGCAAGCAGTGGGCGATTCTGCACTTTCTCCCAATTTCGCACCTAATCTTCGTCATGATTAAGCACTTTTGTTCCACAAAAGTTATAGCATACACGTAATTCGGCTAGCAGATTGTTGGAAAAAATGTTGAGTAAAGGATACTGAACTAGTTTTAATGTGATTTTGAAGTAAAAAATATATTCTAAATTTAATGTTTTTTAGCTAATTTCATCTTGTAACGGTAAATCTTCAGATTATGGTAACTTGGCAATTTTTTGGTGAAAATTTGGCGACCTGCGAAGTTTTTTTTGGACGCCATTTTGTTTTTATGAAGTAAAAGCATGTTTTTTTTTTTTTTTTTTTTACTCAACATTTTTTCCAACAATCTGCTAGCCGAATTATGCTTATGCTGGAACTTTTATGCAAAAAAAGTACTTAATCATGATGAAGATTAGGTGCGAAATTGTTTCTAAGTCCTTATTAGCTAAGATCACGATCGGAATTTTCCGGTAAGTCCATTTTCACCAGATTTCTTGCACCACCATTCAAACTTATCTGTAATATCCTTCCTTTCACACAATTTCATTTCATTCCCACATGTTGGACATTCATACTTATCTGCAATTAATCCTACACTCATACACCATTAAAGCAACTCTTTTGGATGATCACATAAATGCAATAAAAATTTTGAATTTACTTTAGAGAGGGTCATGGGATCCAAATATTAAGCAATACCAAATATCACACAAGATTCAAGATGGAATGTACTTCTCAGATTATTGCTAAAGTCTTAGCTAGTAACCTTTATCGCCTTACCAAAATTTCGTCAAACTACCTGTTACCATATTCCACAGATTAACCGAAGAAAAGGTTTTATTTATCGAAGATACTTAAATGTTATGAAAATTAAATTGGTAATTAATGTACACATTATTGTGTGGTTAAATTTAGAAATATAGCATTTATTCATGTAAACCAGAGTTATATACAAATATTAACTGATTAAGCATTATTTGAATCTTCATTAAAAGTTCTACAAATAATGTCTACAGATTAAGACCATTCTGAACAAATGCAATTTAATAAAATACATATATATATATACTGAAAATCACTAGGTATAGAGGAATCGAATTCGCACAATTTAAGTTAAATTTAATAAATTTTATTTATTGCTGGTGAATTTCATTAATTACTGTCAATGCACTGAGAAATATTTTCCTTAACAAAAGTTAAAAATTAAAAACCAGGAGATTTAGTGATCTACTGGGAGATGTTATGTGCCATAGTTAGAGTATATTATTAAGCATAACAGCTGCTGTAAATGTTTATTTGCATATGTTATCTTTAAGTACCCAAGAAAACAAAATTTAAATGCTGCATACAAAATATTAAAATTTTTATTTCTTTCATGCTTTTCAAAATAACATGTTTTCTTAAGCTGAAAACTAATTTCTGATATATCTACAATACGGAATTAACAGAATTAAATTGATTACATTAGTAATAAAGCAATAATATTAATTAAGTTTTTTCAGTGGAAAATATTCACCTTTTATTTTGTGGCAAATATTTAGAGAAATTAATTTTAGTTTCACAAAATGATACATTAAAAATTTAATTGTGGGAAAGTAAATCAATGTGTATTTTGACAGAATGTTCCACTTTTATTACAAATTAAATTAAATTTATTAATCTTTCTTGTGTACTTAATTAGAAAGGAAAATATTTAATACACAATTTTGTACCTGATGCTTAAAGTCACTTAACTGACATATATGGTTCGTCATAACATGGACATTTCTATTAAAAATTAACAATTCCCAAAAAAAGATATTATTGAAAGATATAATTGAAGAAATTTAAATGTAAACACTGTCATTTCACTAACTTAACCGTCGGACAAAACAAAATGTATACAAATTGTATATAGCACTATTGTTGCCATTTTCGGAAAGTAATTTTTAATTGGCGAAAATCTTATTGCTGAAATTCAAGAAGTTTGTTAATGAATAATATATATATATCTGTATACATATAATGGACAGTATTCTTACAATATACTGGAAGCAATATTTTTTACCTAAATATTTTATAATATTAATTACTACTCGCCAGGAAACAATTTAATACTTTGTATGGCAACACGAACTGACCTGATTATGCGGAATTTTGTGTTTTAATTTCCGATCTCATTACTAAGAGCGAAAAATTGTTCGTAAGAAATATGTTAACGAAAATTGTGTAGTTTTTTTGTCCGAATTGTTCACTCAAAGTGTCTTTATACATTTATGGGAGCTGTTATTTTCAACTGAAGGTTTGTAATGATTTTTTTTAATGTGTCTCGTGTGTTGTCAAATGTATAGATTTTTATTGATAAAGCTTTGGTAATCCTATTTCGGATAAATTAGATTGCGTGACTAATTAACATGTGTTAATGTAATACGATATTTGCATTTCATATTGCAAACTTTTAAAGCTGAAAAATTTGGGTAAAGTTATTTATTTCCATTAAATGGTAAATGTGAAATGAGTTAGAAACATTAAGAAAAATTGCATATGGAAAAAGAGGAACTGATAAAATCGTGGAAACTAGTGAATCCCTCATTGTTAAATGAAAGAATACTGCTGTAGCGGTAGAAATGCAAGAATTTTTATAGACAACATACAAGACCACATGAGTGAGGGATCGTTGATATGTACTGAGAAAATTATTTATTGTAATAAATGCTTTAAAATTTGTGTTTTTATTCAAAAATAATAAGCCTAATGAATATTTGACAATGAAATACTACTACTTAGTGCAGTTATGAAAAACTACTGAGGTCATTGTTTCTCGCTCATATGCACATCAGTTAACAGTTATGTCTTACCAATGCAGAAACATACCAAATCAACATTTTCAATGAGGCTACTAAACAGAAGACAAGTACACTTGCTCTCTTGCCAGCCATATCTAGTTGCTGTTTTTCTCATTTGTCAGATATTAATTCTATAAACAAACTGTAAATAAACCAGAGCCCAGTCACAAATATAATTCTATTGTCCTTGAACTGATGTTTTTCTAAATGCAAGCAAAAGTTACTGTTAATGGCAGTTAATTTATATCCTTGGTCTGCAAGAGGTTATTGAAAATCGGTCAAGGTTACATTAAACGAAAGCACAGATGTTATGAGTGTGTTGTGACATTATGCTCATTGATAATTGATGCTAAATTACATTATTTGGTGACAGTTTCATGGTCGATGGCATAATACTTAATTATCTGAATTAGTTTTGTTTAATTACAGAAGTTATTGGAGAGACATTGATGCATTACTGAAGGATTATTATTTGCAGGAAAAATATAGGCTCTTTCCGGTTATTCACTCTCCATGCCGTTTCATTTGCAACTTTGTGAATTGATGAAAATTGTTGTTTTGGCTCTTTTTATAATATTTATTTTTGGCTCTTTTTATAATTATATTTTTGGCTCTTTTTTTATTTAGGCGCAATCCAAATGCTGTTATACAGAATTTCATTGATATTTATTTCTTTGTTGAAAAGTGAACAGCTGTTGTAAGGAAGATATGGCTATCTTCATATCAGTTTCTGATCTTCTACATTTTGTAGTTTTTTGCTTGCACGTTTACAAAATTTGGTCATGTAGGAAGTAGAACTTCATTTAATGTGAATTTTCATATTTTCTGTTATAGGTCAAAACGCAATACTTCTGATTAAATCCACTGTTTTCTTTTTCATCTGTTTGTATAATCAGCATTCCCAATACAACAATTAGTATTTTCTTAAGAAAATTAAGTACTTTCTTATTAAACAGCACCTTTGAAATTTTCACAGGGTAAGTTACCAACTATTATCAATTGCATTATGCATTAATTATATGCATCTTGCATACAATTTTTGGCACCAAATATCTGCAGTTTTTTTATTATGGCATCCAAAGCATTATTCATCATGTATAGATGCACTCGATATGAAAACCAGATCAAATATGCAAAGTTTTAGTGACATTGATGGTAAACTAGGCCTTGTTGCCATTAATTCTACTAGTTTACAGTATTCCTTGGGATTTTTAACATTATTTATATGAGCATTAATTTCTGGATCAAAAAATGGTATTTAAAGCTCGGAATATAAAGAATTATAACAAGCATTTTCCAGTTTGTCCCTTTTATATTTATTTCCAACACTCTGACTGAATCTTTTTAAAAATTTTTTAACCAATGGGAGATCCTCAGCCAACATCAGCTTGGCCACTAAGGCAAGAAGTGGTGGTTACTTTATTATGGAGGCTCCTAAAGTGGACCACCTTTGCTTCCTATGAAAGAGTAATAAAATGTGCGTGTGTTTAAAGATACACACACGTGCACACATAGTCCCCAAATAGTGCTATCATTGGGTCTTGGCATGTGTTTGGCTTCCGTTTTCACAGGTGTCAAAAAGCTTGGCAGGTTCGTAAGAGAAAAGTATTGATGGTTATTTATGACCTATCTTGGTGAAATTTTGTGGGAAGAATTAATAAGGAAATGTCAAAAATTAGGTACTCTTATCAAGACCAGATTCAGAAATGTATACAGTACAAAGTCCATAATCCGGACTCGTCGGGACTTCGTCGATCCCAGATTAAAGGTTTTTCCGGATTATAGATCATCAGTTTAAATCTGGTAAGATAGCATGCAGAAATTATACAATTAAAAATATGAAACTGTAATTTATGAAATAATGATCTAAAGGGTATCAAAATTTACAAAAAGAAAAAAGGCTTAATTATTTATTTTACTTTATTAACCATTTTTTTCAAGTGTTGTTTAAGATGCTTCCACAAAAAGTTCCTTTTTGTGTCATATATAGTGGATTTTCCAATGCCATACTTCTTGTGTAATTTTGAGACGGATAGGCCTTTATCCATTTTTTGCAGCAATTCCACTTTTTGTTTAATGGACATCGAAACATGCTCTCGCTTTGTAGATCCTTTGGCAGCTCCAGAATTGGAAACTCTTTTTGACATAATTGAAAGTTCAAGCTTAATTTTTATAAAATTGTTCTAACAGTTTGCAAAAAATAATAAGCTGGATCCAATTAGAAGATTAAGGAACAGCGCAATCTGCAACATTAACTGAAATGCCTTAAATAATTTTAGATAGCTTATACCATTGCGTTTACGCATGCGCATAAAGTTTGTAGCTTTGAAGTCCGGATTATAGATCATTCCGCCGTATGGATTCCGGCTTAAGCCCCAGATCTGGACGTCCAATATCTGGAATGATCTAAAATCCAGACCTTAAAGAGCCACCAGGAAAAATTTTCTTAGAAATTTTTTTTTCTTGTGCTTTAGCCATGCACATTTAATTTTTTTTCCCCCGTAAGAAAACATTTGGAGAATCCCGATTCTTAATTTCACTTCGGCACTAAATAAAATACCTTTGTCATTGAAGAAACAATCATTATAGCATAAAATAGTGTACAATAATTTAGCTCCATAACGGCATATCTGCTTGGCATACATCTTATAACTACTAATATTTTATATACCTGATGCCAATCTGGCAAATCATTATTTATTATATTTTACTTTCATCACCTTATGTTTATCAACACATGACAACTTGAGTAATGACTCATACAGTGATGCCTAAGCAATTGTTTTGTATTAGTAATGTAACTGAATAATAAGAGTATGGAAACCTTTTATGTTGACTTGGTGATGATAAGTTAAATGCATTATTAACTTAAATCTTAAGTTAAATGCATTAAATATTTACTAGGAAAAAATTAAAAAAAACTCTTTCCATATGGTAAAAGTATATTTACAGGTACCCCTTCGCGAAAATTGCCGATTTTTGGCGGTACAAGGATACCGAGTTTGTGCAATTCTTTGTTATTTTGGCTTGTGTAGGTTTATGTTGATATTATACCTTTTATGTTGTGTAACGGCAATATCGCCGCTACTCAAAGCTATAATAACAAGACAAAGATTTGCACAAACTCTGTATCCATGTGCACATCGACCTATTTTCATTTAAAAAAACATCACGGAATTGCACAAACTTGCATTGCGAAACAAACATCATCCCTTTATCCATGTATACATCAATCTATTTTTACTTAAAAAAATTATCAGAGAATTGCACAAACGTAGTATTGCACACTCCCTTCACTTTGTCCATGTGCACATCAATATATTTTCACTTAAAAAGTCAAAGGACCACCCGGTTAGAGTTGACTTTAGGGTACCTCTTGTATTACCGCAAAGTTGTTTCATTTATCAATAAACTATATTTTCTAGCGAAGTTGTTGTTTCATTTATCGTGAAGTTGTATCGTTTATCGCCAAGTTGTTTCATTTGTGGTAACCCAAGTACTTGACTTGTTATGGAAACCATATCATGACGTAATCGTTTGCATTATTCCGGGAAATTTTGAATCATGGGATGTTTTGTAAGGGCTTTTAGGATGTGTGTTGTTAGGAAGGACATTGCTTGTTTCATTGTTTAGACAGTAGAATGGCTGAATGTAGTAAGATTAATTTGAAGTTTCTGTATGATGTGGAATGAAAGGGAAAAAGTGCATTAATTGACTGGCATGTAAATGAAGATTTACTTAGTAGCCATTATTAAGTTCCTGTTTCTAGGAAGGAAATTTGTGTGGTTAAAGGTCGAACGATATCGGCACTATGGAGGATATTTTTGTGAATTTATGTGGTGACCCCAGTATACAGATTCTTGTTCAGATAATTTTAGGAAGTTTTTGGATGCTGTTTAGGAATTCTATTTGACAGGAGAAGTGGATATTTGCTTTGTGTAGTGCTTATATGCATTACAGGTTTTCCCTTTTTTATGTTATTTTATTGTTTAGTTTAAAATGTAATTTATTGAGATTATGCATTTTTTGTCTGCCTCTACTGTAGAATTTGGTGCTGCTTTGAGGGAGTGCGCAATGCCATTTTTGTGTAATTCTAGGATTTTTTTTAAGTGAAAATAGGTCAATGTGTACATGGCTAAAGTCAAGGGAGTACGCAATGCCATTTTTATGCAATTCTGGGATATTTTTTTAAGTGGAAATAGGTCGATGTGTACCGTGTAATGTTTATTTAACTGGTACACATTTTATAATAGGAGGATACCGAGTTTGTGCAATTCTTTGTCTTGTTATTTTGGCTTTGTTGTAGTGGCAATTTTTGCTACACAAGCCAAAATAACAAGTCAAAGAATTGCACAAACTCTGTATCTATGTACCGCCAAAAATCGCCAAGGTTTACCCTTAAATATACTTTTACCGAGCATCCAATTCTACAGTAGAGGCAAACAAAAAATACATAATCTCAATAAACTATATTTTAAACCAAACAATAAAATAACATAAAAATGGAAATTTATCTTGTGCATCTAAGTACTACACAAAGTAAAGATCCACTTACCTTATTTAGAAATTTCTACATCTTCAGTCTGTGGCACATCCTTACCAGCATCCAAAAACTTCCTAAAATTATCTAAACTAGAATACATATATCAGCATTGCCACATAAATTCACAAAAATAATAGTGAAAAATATCCTCTGTAGTGCTGGTATCCTCCGACGTTCAACCATACGCATACAAACCATACTTCCTATAAACAGGACACTTATAATGGCTTATAAGTAAACCGTCATTTACACATCAGTGAATTAATGCTCTATTTCCCTTTTGTTCCAAATTGTACAGAAACTTCAAATTAATCTTGCCACATTCTGCCATCTAGTCATTTTACCATCTAAACCACAAAACAAGGAATGTATTTCCTAACCAACACACACCTTAAGCCCTTACAAATCTTTCCCATCATTGTAAATCTACCGCAACCACGCAACTGATTACATCATAATAGGGTTTCCATAACATTCAACTACTCAGGTTATCATAAATGAAACAAGAACTTCAACATAATTCAAGGGGTCCCCTTCAATCTACTTTAATCACAATACTTTCTATATATGCGATATTTATATAATATCATAATGTTTTAATTATCTAACCTTTGCTAGCACTTGTTCATGTTACGCTGATTTATATTGATTTTGTTTCTGTGTTTACGAAGTACTTTTTAGTTATTTCACTTGAAGAAATTTGGATGTTAGTCACTTAATATTTTTCTAGTAGTTACGAACAAATTATAACAGAAGATAATAAAATAATTTTCCTATTTCAGATGATTACTGTTTCAAAGAAAATTTCAAATTTTCGTAATTTAGCCTACTTGACTCGGTGTTATAGGACTATTTATTCTGGGAAAATTCCTCAGTCTCCTTTAAATACTAGTTTTGAAGACTCTAGTAGTAATGGTAAGGAATATATTTATAGCTACATCTATTTTAGCTGTAGTTTTCGTATTGTAAAGTGAAAAGTTATAAATGTGAAAGTAATAAGGCGAATCTCATTCATTGAATGTTCCATAAATATTTATATTCATGTAAGGTTAGAAATTTCAAATTAAGATTATAAATTAGTAAAGTTGCACAGTATGCTGTGAAATTATGTAAGAAATCAAGAGGTAATAATTAAATTATTGTTTGTCTTGTTTTGTTTGTATTGTTTTTGTTTCAGTTTTGATGTTTGTATTTCTTAGACTGTTGACCCCCAGTTATTAGCTTTGATTATATTTATATAGATATCTTGCAGACATTTTATGCATATTTGTATTTAAATAGGCATTATGGCAATCAGAACAGATATTTATCAATTATGAGATAAACTGTTCGTAAATTGTTCTTCAAGATCAAGATTTGGAAAAAATAATCAAAATTACATATATGTCTGTCTTTTGCCCCTGGTTGTAGAATTTTCGGTACTTTGCCATTTTGCCGGCGCAGGCGATAAGTCTCCAAAAATGGTACAACTGATGCCAAATGGAATATCCTCGTTTATAACCTTTTATGCCTCATTTTCAAAACAAGTTGCAGCCATTTTTTTATCAGATTGATTGTTTCTTTCAGTACTGGCATACAATTATAAAGAATTTCTACCAGATAGTTAAATTTTATGCCCTAAAGCCATTCACGGTAATTAAGTCAATATTAGGATGCAATAACACCGCACAGCCGAAGGCAAAAATATAGAAAACTCAAAGTAAAGGGTTAAATTCATTGAATGTTCCATAATTCTAATGAGAATGCACTAGCGAAGTAAAGCACTGTGGTTTTACATAATTTTTGAGTAAGCTATTCGTACGAATTAAAATGATTCTTGCATTTAAGCTACTATTCCATGTTAAGATTTAACTTGAAATTAACATAGATAATTACTGAGAGAATTAGATTTTTGTAGCGTAGTTTACATGAGATGAGATCACTTTGTTAACGTGATATGGACTGGCAAATCAGGATGTTGTATTACAAAGGCATAGTAAATTCTTAAATTAATGCCTTTTTACAAATTTATTGTCTTTTTACAAAATTTTAAAATGATATTAAAGTGTTTATGCCTTCAAAATAAAAAATTGTTAGAACTAACATTTGTTAAAATGGTTAATCTTTGGATTATGGTAACTTAGTGAAAATTTGGCGACAAACTCTGCTACAGCAACCCTCTATTTTTTTTTCCCGCCGCCATTTTGTCTTCACGAAGTAAAGACATGTTTCTTTTCTTTTTATTTACTCAACACTTTTTCCAACAATCTACTAGCCGAATTACACTTATGCTAGAAATTTTATGTAACAAAACTGCTTAATCATGACAAATATTAACTGCAAAATTGGGAAAAAGTGCACAATCGCAAACTCCTTGCGCGTTTTTCAGAATAGCACATACACATAAACCATTTACATGTCGACTTATTTTTACTTAAAAAACCATCCCAGCATTGCACACACTCTTAACTTTATCCATCTACACTGTATTTTCTCATAAATTACAAAAATTTGCACCAAAAAAGGCAGGAAAATTTTCTTAATCTTTAAAACTCGGTAAAAGCACATATATGAAATTACCTGATCGCGAAAAAGTATATACCCTTCCAAGAATGAACATTTCCACATATAAAATAAATAAAATATCCAAAAAGCTTTACCTCTAAATTATCTATTATATTATAAACGTCACCAACGAATTATACGCAAACATTAAAATAGTTACAAATACTTAATGTCAAATATTTAAATTATTTCCATACAGTTTACTTCAACTGAAACGTATACCAAATTCCTACAAACATAAAATTCACAAATAACTACATTTAATTAAAATATAACTAAACCATGTACACTTGACTTATTTTTACTTAAAAAAACATCCCAGAATTGCACAAAATGGCATTGTGCACACTCTTCACTATATCCATGTACACTGCTTTTTCTCATAAATTAGAAAAATTTCACGAAAATGCAATGAAAATTTTGTGAATCTTTAAATTCGGTAAAAAGGACATATATGAAATTACCTGATCGCGAAAAAGTATATACCCTTCCAAGGATGGACATTTGCACGTATGAAATAAATAAAATATCCAAAAACTTTTACCTCTAAAGTATCTGTTATAAACGCACCAACGAATTATAACAAAACATTAAAAATGATACAAAAACTTAGTGTCAAATACAAATTCTTTCCATGCACATTTACTTCTACTCAAACGTATTCCAAATACTACAAACATATAACTCTCAAAATCGCGATCATTAAATTAAAATATAATTAAATTAAAAAACACTACTTAAAATATAAATAAGCACATACATTAAATTAATAAAAATTAGCTTACAATCCTAATTTACTTTAAACTAAATCGTGCTAATAACAATTTTCCAAAATCCCATATTAATTTATTTACTCCTTACATTTAGAAACAATGCATAAAAAAATATCCTCAAATAATTAAAATTGTTGTTCAGAGGCCAATATTTAGAGTAAAGAAGCCCATCGTAGGACAACACACTTTATTTACATGAATAATGAATAAAGATATCACACAGGAAATCATATTGAGTATACACAGCAAATAACATATCAGGCATCTCCTACGCTCGAGCTCGAATGCGGATGTGTCGGTAGAAAGAGACAGCTGCGCATCATAAGCATGCGCATAAGAAAAACGTTCGCTCGCCTCTACCCAACAAAATACTAACTTCCTAATCTTCTACAGAATCTGAGTGCATGGCGGATCACAAAAATGTCCATTTTCACCAGGTTTCTTGCACCGCCATTCAAACTATCTGTAATATCCTTCCTTTCACACAATCTCATTTCATTCCCACATATTGGACATTCATACTTATCTGCAATTAAGCAATTCTTTTCAATTACACATAAACATAATAAAAATTTCAGATTTACTTTATATATGGCCATGGGATCCAAATATTAAACAACACTGTTTCACAGAACATAGAATGAAACTACTCCTATAAAGTACAGCAGATATTTTTACAATATACCCCCTTTTCCAATTAAAGAACAGTGATTCATCCATTAATGTCACATGACATATCTCATGATCTCTTATTTCCCTCACACAAAATAATGTTAATCGGAACTGAAAACTTCTCACATTATTCCCAAAGTTCTAGGTAGTAACCTTTATCGCCTCCAAAATGTCGCCAAACTACCTGTTACCATATTCCAAAGATCAGCCGTTAAAATTTTTTGTTTATATACTGTGTTTTTTCGCCAATAAAGTGTGCTTGGCGAGATTTGCGACGGCGAAATGGAAAAGTACCGAATGTTCTTGCTTTTATCTCATCTTGCTTGTCTTCTGTTTTAAATAATCAGCATACTTCATTCCGTTTTTTAAAAAAATTTTCATATATTAGTATAGCAATTGGCATAAAGTTTGCTGATATATACCTATTTACAAATAAATCTCTAATCTATTATTGTATGCTCATAACACAACTTTAAGTTTTCAGTTTCTTTTAAGTTCTGTCAAGACATTTTGTTCTTTCTGTATATGAATATTTTGTATTTCTTAGTACTTCTGCTTATGAATCAAAAATAATTGTCAGTGTCAGGAAGCCTCCATCCCCTTCTTCTTGGCAAATTTCAGGTTTATTTCTCAACAAAAATTCTTAATTTATGAGCTGTAATTCTGATTATCATAACCATATAATTGGTATGTGATACTAATAAAATTATCAGAATAATCAGTTAATAACTATTATTCCATTTCATAGCCAGTGTTGTTTGAGCATATATACATTTCTAGATAATTTACTACAGGTTTTAGCTAAATGATTGCCAGTGTTTTAATGCAATTATGCATGTTATTTTTAAGTAATTTTTTGTACATGGAAGACCTTTGTTTGAAATTCCATGGATGTTTTGCATATGCATGTTGCAAGCTCATTACTGATATCCTTGCAACATGTATCATAAATTGTACCAAACCTCATGTATGGTAATCACTATTTCTATACTTTGATTTTTCTTTTAAAGTGGCCACCACAAGTGCTCTGGCGAAAATTGGCAGCATTTAAAATAAATTCGGGGAAACTAAAAAAATGCTATGGCAATTTTCAACATATAAAAAACTGCAATGTATGGGAGAAAGTAGCACTTATTTGTATTTTTGGAGACCATAATTTGAAAAATGAAAACTAAGTAACTATCAACTGGAAAATAGTTTTGCTATAATACAATCAAACATTGGTGATTTCAGATTTTTGATATTTAACTGTGTATTGGATTTGGATGGAATTTAGTTCTTCAACCCAAAATTATATTCATCACCCAAAATAGTTTTAAGAAAAGGAACCATGAAACAAATTATTGGCACAAAGTCTTTTTCCTACAGTTTTTCACTTGCATCTCCGAATGCTATACCTCACAATAAACTGGTGGCTAATTTTGCACTTTTGCTTAGTATGTGAATTTTCCATGCTCTTGAGGGATGAAAAAGCACTTTCTTTTTCAGTTGATAAGTTAAATACGGTTGAGATTTTAGAGAAGGAAAAATGGCAAAGAATATGAAAAAATAATGATACCATGGAGAAACTACTGCTTATTTTCCACTTGTAGAAATTTTAAAAATGCAACGAAGAATTGATATCATGTGGTCTAAAGTAAATATAAAAATTCAAATATGTTACATGTTATGAATATCACAAAAACTGTTATTTCTTATTCAACTGATTATAAATTAAAATTGGGAATCATTTTAGAGGAATAAAAATATTGACTTAGTGATATTGTGTGGACAGCTTCATAATAAAACAGTGTGACAGTTATACAGATTTAACATTAAAAATTCATTTATTAAGTTTGCCAAATCTGGCAAATAATTTACTGATTTTAGTCTCTTACTAAAGTGATCGATATAACCTATACTTCTTATCAATGATTGTGCGATACTGATTTATATGCGAGTAAAGAGTAACAAATAAAAATATTTTTTTCATTATATTTTGGACATTTTTAATACAGTTTTTATATTTTAGTGTGTTAAACAGTCTTTATATCTTAATCTATATATTTATTAAATTTATCTTTACCAATGTATATATGTTGCGCATAAAATTATGCTTTGTTGCCAACAAAATGTAGACTGACTGATGTGTGAGATATTTTACATATTAAAATCTACAGAAAAATTCAATTTTATTCTGTGTAATGTTCTATATGCTTAAATTTCAAAATGTAATTGTGATATTTTAAATTGATTTCCAGGACTCAAAAAAGAGGGATATGGCGAAAAAGAAATATTTTTACTTGGACCAGCTGATTTGCGAACTCCATTACCAGGAAATACTGGAATTCCCCCTCTTTCAATGATATACACAGTATGTTTTATTTATATTACTTTCTTAAATGAAAAATTATGAGTATTTGATAAATTTGTAAACAATGGAAATCTTATGCTTGTTGAAGGTTTTTCACAACTTTATGTCAAAGAGGTAAGGATATTTATAATTTCTTACTATAACTTCTATGAAGTATTAGATCATAATATATTTTCAAATTGTAAATGTGCTACTTTTTAAAGTAGCTGAAAATGATGTGTTTTCAGTTTCTGCTGAAGGATTATTAACATTTAAGTTTTTACATGTAAAATTTAACATTCTAGCTCAATAACTTAATATAAAGAAAAAGGTATCAACCTAGTCATATGGTTAATTTTTCGAATCGTAATTGCATCCTTTCCCTTATTACTGACATACAGAGGATGCTTACACAGTAATGATTGATTTTGAAAGTATTAAAAAAAAGCAGATGTTTTGGAATAAGAATTTCTGTGAACAGGTTATTATTTGAAATGAGGAATGTTGTCTGCTGCTTTTAAATTTATCCTACTTTCAAAATGTCTCATGTAAACAAACTGTGGATTGATTTTGTTCTTTCTAAAGAAAAATATATCTATTCCATATTTAAAAAAAGTTTGTAAAATACATGGTATTAAAATTTCTAAAGGATTAGAAGGATAGATTCTAAAGGATTAGATTAGGAAAATTAGAAGAAAAAGGTTCATCCAATAAAATTTCTAAAGATATGCTGTTTTTAAATATTTTTTGCACAATGTGACTACACTTGAAACGTAGCTGACGAAAGCGTGTTTACGTTACCAGCAAAACAGCATCCAAACGAGTACGCTTGCGAAGAGTGTGTTTAACCAATTTGGTGCAAAAAATCACGTAACGTTGTAATATAAGCGTTGTTTAACGGAGCTGTCTTCTTGTTACTTCGCTGTGTTTCTATATGTTTGCGGCAAGATGTCAGAATCAGATGATTTTTTGATAGCTGAAACTTTACTAATAAGTACAAGCATTAAGCAGAGGCTGTTCAGAGAGGTTTTTTTTTTTTTTTTTTTTTTTTTTTTTTTTTTTTTTTGCCTTTACTGCCTTGTTTGCGAAAAGAATATCATGAATTATTTTTTAATTACTTCAGGATGAGTATTGACTAGTTTGATGGACTTGCAGATTCTATATTGTAGGAAAATTAAGATTTATGTAATTGGTTTGGAATACAGTATATAAAGAGAATTAATTACTTGAAAGGCCATCCACCATGTAATGAAACCAACTTCATATTTTTTAATCTTCTCCCTTAGTATGCTTGTTTATGTGTGGTATGGGAGTACGGTAAAGGAATCTTTGTAATAAGTAAAGCCATCTATAATTTGATTATTTTCTATATATTATCACACAAATAAATTAGAAGAAAAAGGTTCATCCAATAAAATTTCTAAAGATACGCTGTTTATAAATATTTTTAGCACAATGTGACGTTAACTCAAATGCTCTCAAAACGTTCACGTGCCTATAAATTGGGGGGGGGGGGGAGGAAGCCCATTTAAGTGTAATATAAAATCTGAAAGCTTTCAGATTTTTTCTTTTTCTTTTCTTTTTCTTTATTTTTGAATTTAGAAAAAGGTTCAAACTTTCGACAGTTTATGTAAAATTATGTGCCGGATAAAATATGCAATAAGGTAAAAATAAAGAGATAATTTATACAAGAGTTGCAGATATATCATTACATAAGGGGTTAATGGTGAATTTAGAAAAAGGTTCAAACTTTCGACAGTTTATGTAAAATTATGTGCCGGATAAAATATGCAATAAGGTAAAAATAAAGAGATAATTTATACAAGAGTTGCGATATATCTTACATAAGGGGTTAATGGTGAATTTTAAAAAGGTTCAACTTTCGACAGTTATGTAAAATTATGTGCCGGATAAAATATGCAATAAGGTAAAATAAAGAGATAATTTATACAAGAGTTGCAGATATATCATTACATAAGGGGTTAATGGTTTCTATTTGCAGTGCACATTTTTAAACTAAATTAAAAACAATAATAATAATAGAAAAAATAAGAATATAATGATTCATGATTAAATATGAGAAGCACGTTTCAAAATAAGAAAAGCTAACTTTGATTTACAGTGGTTACGGGTGAGGCTTGAACTCGCAACCTTTCCCTTTGCAATCTAATACGCTGACCACTCAGCTATCTGTGATAGTGTTTGTGAAAAATAATGCAAGAAGTAGAAGTCACTGCAAAGGTAATTTAATTAATATTCAATAAAATGATTGCCATATGACCCAAGCTGTAACTGTCCTCGAAAATTTCATAACTGCATTTTATTGAATACTCTTTCACAGTCAACTGCTTTATTTTAGAAGTTGTATATTGTTGAAGTTAGTTTCGGTTATTTAATATTCGGATATTTATAGAGCTTTTTGTTACACATGAAGTAGCAAATATTTGTAATAATTAAGAATAATTTTGTAAGGCAGAAACTTTGATTTCGTAGAAACTGCAATTTATGTAGGTTCCTATTATTTAGGTGTATTTAGGTGTTATAAACAGATGAATCATATGGATATACTGGTCAGATCATTCCTTTGTAAATATACAGTTTTTTCCCTTTAATAAGAATTTGAAATTTATACCAATATATATCGTTTGAGAAAACTGAGGATGCCATAAACAATGCTGATTATTTTATTGCTGTATACAGTTATGATCTCTTTAAGCAGAAATTTATCTCTGTGTGGTTCTGACTCCATATTGAAAGGGGCAAGCAAGAAGACCTTTCCAATTGTGATGCGTGATAAGAACTCGGTCGGGTATTGGCTGTTCGTTCACTTCGCGGAGGAAAAAGCTGAACAGGAGCGAACTCAGTTTTATGTCTTCTGTGTAATGCGAATTTACACTGGCGGAAAAAAAACTGCTTCAATTACGTCTTGAGTATACACATGTGGATGGGCATTAAGTGCAAAATAAGCAACGTTATTTATAGGAAAGGGGGAAACGTTAGTCTTTACTTTTTGCATGAAAAGAAGACTCCAAACATGTATCTGAAAAGTTATAAACTCTTTCTTATGTTTCTAATGCTAAACTGTTAAAAAGAGAAAAATCTGTTGATGCAGAAATCAATTGCAGTCTTTAAATGCCTTTTTAGTAACAACAAGTAAAATAATAAATAAAAATTTACAGCTTAAAAAAGCTAAAGAACATAGTGTTCATCAGCTTTTTTTGAGGAATGTAGCTCAACACAGAAAACTGTAGAATCCTGTATGAAAATTATTTTGCCGGAGATAAATGGAAATATGTCATGACTCTTGATGAAACATGGGTTTATCTAAATGAGTGGGTTAAAAAAGTAGCTTATTTATTATCAAAAATGAAGAGGAAAAATTTACTAACCTGGTTTCATCAATGCAAAGAATGTTTCAGTAAGGGGTTTATGATTGTCGCAGGATTGTCTTGCATTAGAAAATTAAAAATAAGAAGAGTGGAAAAAAATGCTAAAAATCATCTCAGTGTACTATCAAGAGAAAGTTTTAAATCTGATATTTGCAGAAGGAAATATCATTTCTTTATTCTGATGACCTTCAAAGAGTGAAACTCATCAAGACGAAGCAACAAGTTGTATTTATAAAGGTACTACAGTAGAATTCCAGAAATCCACAAAGCTTGGGACCAGAGGTTGTGCGGATTTTAGGATTTTGTGGATTTCAGGACAGAAAAGATAAAGCATAATATTGGGACTAAAAGTACAAAATGAATAAAGCATATTAGATACATTTAATTAAATTATTATATACATTATTGCAATAATTTATTATATGCATTAAATTATTATTACATATATAAATTGATTATGTTATTCATTGTATTATATGTACACAGCTTCGAGGTTTGCCGATTTCGCCTCATGCAAAGATTTCCGGTTTCGGATTCCGGTGTTAGAATCACTGTTGCTGTAAAATTTCAACAGCTTTTCTTTATTTTTCCATATATCATACACAATCATGTTGCAATTCCATACCATTCTGCTATAAATCGAGTAGTAGCACCTGCTTTCATCTTTTGCAGAATTTGCACATTTTGCATTAGTCAATGCAACGTGTTTACGTTTTTCACCGTTGCAAGTAATAAAATCATGAGTGCATTTCTTATCTGTCATTGTATTAAAAAGAGCTGAAATTTAAAATATTCTTAATTTATCCATAAAATATTCAGATAAAAAAAAGGCAGCACTAAACAATCTCGTGAAATGAAATAACAAAGCTCAGAAAATACAACAACGTGAATCGTGAACTTGAACAAAGAGTTGAGTGAATTGTCTGCTTTTTACCTCGATGCAGATTAGAGGGGAAAAAACTTATCTTATTTTTTAACACTTTTTTATATCAATAATTTGGTATTTCCATTTTGACTCATTATTATCGGTAATTATGACATTATTATTCAATAAGTATTTTTTTCTTCGATATTTTGTACTCAATGTTGAGGTTTCCGGAACCTATAAACTGAATGTTTATATTCTGAGGGGCAACGCGGATTTCAGGAGTTGGCAGATTTCAAGTCAGTGGATTTTTGGTATTTGACCATACTACATTTCTTGAAAAAATGAAGGTTGACACAGGTATTGCATATGGTGTCTTTTCTGTAGCGGAAGTTGCTAAGTAGGTCAGTGTTGTGTTTTTCTACAAAGTCCCTGAAATTTCACCCATGGACTACTGTGATTCTGGTCTCTTGAACTTTTTCTAAGCACAGACCCATAATAATTGATGGACTCTGAAAAGTAGTGGAATAGGAATGGAAATCGTTATCCTTGGAAATTTGATGAAAAGCCCTCCTAGCATTCAAATCATGGTGCCGTCCCCCTAAAAAAACTGTCAGATTGAACATTTAAAAAATACTCTTTACATTTAAGATGTTACTTAAAAAGCCCTGAAATTATTTTAAAAGTGTTTAAAGTGCACCCTCTGTATGAATCTTTGTGTAGAGCTGTTATTTTTAAAGTGGAGGGAGAAAATATTTTTCATTTTATAAATCAACATAGTATTGAAGAAATTTTTATTCAATTATTGAAATTTTTTTATTAGGTTATTATTTTATTTTATCCTAATTTTTTATTAGGAAATTATAGAGGTCTCTCTTTTTTTCTTGAATATTTTCTCTTCATAATTTCCTATTTTTGTGATTTTTTTCTTTTATTGACAAGGCATATTTAATTAGAAATAATAATTAATTATTTATTATGATAATATAGTTTTTTTGTGGTGTCATTTTGGAGATTGTAACTTTTTTTTCTCCTCCTCAAGAATAGAATAAAGGAACTTCCCAATCAGCGGAGATAAATTAGAAGCAATTTAAGTACATTACCAGAAGATAGGCATCAAAGTTTTGCTTAGTCAAGTTGCATGTATTATAACAGAGGTAAGAATTTATTATAGAGAAAATAAAATAATAATAATAAAAAAAAAAAAAAAAAAAAAATAGGTATTTTTTGATGCCTGCTATAAAGGAATGGAGAAATATCCTAAAGGAAAAATAGTAGAAATTTAATGTTTGTCTTAGAAAGATTAAGGCTGCAGCTCAAGATAACCAAATAATTAATATATTATATTATTTGAATATATGCATCTTCCCTTTTCAACCTCTTTGCTTTCTAGTTTCTTAAAATGTGTGTTAGTGTTTTTGAATAAATGTACCAAAAATGCTTCTTTTTTGAAAATAATTATCATGCTTTTCTTCTTTACTTCCTGCCCCCCCCCCCAAATTTGATGTAACAGTTTAATGAAAGAAGAAATAATAACAAAATTTATTCTGGGTATTTATGTATTGAAGGCATCTGTTAGCACTTTTCAGAAAAATGTTTCAAATTTAATTTCATTTTGCATTTTATGAAAATTCACATTTCATAAATTAAGAATAACAAAACAATTTCTTTTTTTATTCTTGAAGTTAAGTTAGTGTAGTTGCAATCAATGTATAATTTTATATGCAGTTTTGTTTTTATCTACAGTACTTCAGTACAGTTTCTGATAGCATAAAAAGTACTGTTACAGATAAAATTGTCTTGAAATAAGTCACTGTATTTCCCTCACCTCTTTCTTTAAATAAATCCAGGAAGATTGAATTCATGTGTTGATGTATATTGTTCCATTTATGTTTATTTCTGCACTTCTAAAGTCATTCATTGTTTTGGTTCATAGCCACTGGTATCTGGATCCATAAAGTTATACTTTTGGTTTACTGTAAAATGTTGAAAACTTCTTTCCCAACAATCTGAGTATATAAGGCTTCCTATATTAACCTTCCAAGCGATAAAGCTGTCTACATGCATTAAAAAATACAGGGTTCGTACGGTCCTTAAGAGTCCTTAAAAGTCCTTAAGTTTTTTGGAATCGATTTTTGGTCCTTAAAAGTCCTTAATTTTAATCATCTGAAATTTCTGTCTGTTTTTACGACTGTCATTTCGAGTGTGAATTAGCATTTTGCAGGAATATTTTTGGCGATTTACTGACAAATATGGCTATTTTTTGGATGGGTTCACAAGTTATAATTTTTTCCTATTTGTAATATAAATAATGGTGGGATACTCGAGTTTCTGAACAAGAAGTGAAACATTAGCATTTCAGAATTATTTCATTTTTTGTAATGAAGAGCTCTCAAACAACTTTCCACTTTTGGGGATGTGAATTCTTTTATTAAACGGTTCTTCTAAATTTGGCGATTATCAACAGTTTGGTGATTTTAAAGATCGGTTTCTATATAGAAAACATTTTAATTACGAGATCTGGGAATTTTTTGACGATTTTTTTAGGACATTCTGATGTTGATAAATTTCATTAAAATAATGGTAATATATTGGAATTATATTTAAGAAATAATATTAAAATAAAGTATTTTTATTTTTCTTTGTCATATTATAAAGTTCCATTTTGGCCATATATTGTACAATTTTTTTAATCTGAAAAATAAGCAAGGAATAATGCTGTAAAGCACAGTTTACAAAACAGTTTTTAGCAAAAGCAAAATAGCTATGTAATTAATTAAAAATGTCTTTTTAATGGTAAGAATTTTTCCCATTTCTCAGAATGATCAGAATTCTCAGAAAATGCATCAGTTTTCTCTATAAAATTGATTTCACACTTTTTTCTTCCGATTTTTTTAAAAAACATTTCTGGCTTTTTGCTGTTACAGAATTAGTAGGGGTAATTTTTCTTTAGGATTTTAGACATTGAAGCTTGGAAAGTTTAGAAAGATTTTAAGGCAAATTATAGACCCTCGATTCTAAAAGATTCTAGAAAAATGTGATAAAATGAAGGTTTCTGGAGTGTAAGACAAGTGTGTTTCTGACTTCCACTTGCTCTTTGCATTAGTTGTGTCAGCTTTGATAATTTGTAATTATTAGTCTTTTCATTACTGCTGCTGACATTTGAGTTTATTATGACAATAGAGTTACTGAACCAGATTAAATTGAAATTAAATTGTATAGTCTTTGACCACTAGTCCATATTTTTAGTTTGAATCTGACTCTTCTTGTTTAATTATATCACCACAAACTGTAAATGATTTCGTTTGCAAAAGAACAGGCCTATATGTTCCAAGTTCTTTTTGAATAAGAAGCTTATTTAAACCTTTATTTAAATTTATTATCTGATTTATAGTTACTTTCAGACATAGTGATAATTTGTTTCACGTCTGTCGGGGAGGGGGGGGGGGGGGTGTGTGGACTATTTAACTTTTTTACCAGATCAAGTAAGCCCTCATAGGTAGTACATTGTGAGAGGGTTGGCAGTTGGGAGATAAAACACGCAGAAAACTAATGAGAACATTGTTTTGCATATTGAGACAAATTTCTAATTGTTAGAAAACATGTTTAAGGAGAAGGAAATCGATATAAATTAGCCAAAATGTCTGGGCAGGCCTTCAAATTAAAAAGACGCATAATTATTTTGTTGATTTTTATGTTTTGTAGATTTTAATGTGTAATTATCCTAAAAAATCAATGTTATAAATTGCATGCATTTTAAACTGTGAAATTTTATGAGATTGTGATATTAATATGGTTTTTTAACAAATATTATTCTGGAATTTTCGTTTGGCTGGCGTCAGTCCGCCGGACCGACAGTATTAAAGTTAAAAAATAAGTATAGTCTCAATGAAATGTGATCAAAAGTAGTTTTAATGAAATTTATTGAAACATTCTAAACAAAAATACGGCATAGCTTTACACATATTACAATACGAAATAACTATTTTGGTAACATTTTTGGCTATCTTGCATCCAAATAGCCAAAAATTTGGATGCAAGATAGCATTCATAACATTTCGAACAGTACTTTCGGACTTTATGTGCGTCTCCTTCTTTTTTGTATAATTTATGAATAATTTAAATCGGCAATATTGCCGCCGATTGATCGTTGCCGGCTGAACAGAAAGGACAACAAATTCGGCGCCGCGCTCAACGTGTTAAACCTTTACCGTGGTCACAAAGTAAAACACAAAAATATAAAAATTCATGTGATTCTTTGCATCTAGTGAGACTTAATGCAAAACAACTTATCACCGCTAATGCTTTAGTGGCCTAATAGAACCTTAAATTATATTAACTTGAGTTACAACCCCTGGAACTCTACACAAAGCTATGACACTAACAGCATCAGACAGTGGTCAGCTAACTTTCAAAACTTGCTAACTATGCCTACATCAGGCCTTTCAGGTTTGTTCTGATTAGCAGGTCTTACTATAGGCGAGCAGGAGCGGTGACAACAGCCAGTCTTTTGTTATGAATCATGCTGATTAAGATTTTAATGCTTATTTTAACCTATGCTGCTTGACATAAAATCTACTTATTAAACCTCTAGACTGAGCAAGTGTGTGACAAAAGAAGACATAAAAAAAAAAAAAAAAAAGCTAACTGTTAGTAAAATGTAACTAAAATGTCACTTATCTTCTTTCAGATATGTCCAGTTATTATGAGTGTAAAATATTTAATGCTTCTTGATAAATTTCATAAAATTATTTTTATTCTCAAAATATTAATAATTATGTTTATGTTTAATAATAATGCAAGCTACTCACATTCAGGCGTAGATATAATAGTTTTAATTGAATTTATTCAGTTCCCATTTGCTCATAGGTCTTTAATTTTTTTCATTAATGGTCCTTAAAAGTCCTTAAAAGTACTTAATTTCCTTGTACAGAAATGCGTACGAACCCTGAAATATTGTTCATGATGCCATCAAGAATACAGATATATATGTTGAAATGTGTTTAGAAGATTATAGTAGAATATATATTTGGAAAGAAAAAGTCAAAATGGAAAGTGGGAGGATCGTTTTGGAATTATGACCAAGAAAATACCATTTACGTACAATCCTTTTGAAAACATCAAGACTAAACCTTTAGCTGCCTTGGATGGTTAATATATTGGTTGATCGCTTCCACAAGTGTTTTGATATTTCTGTGTGGAACATGTATAAAAGAAACACATCTACAAACACATTACCTTCAAACATCTCTAAAATTCACGAAAAATTTGGTGATTGAAAGTTTGGTTTAGAAAGGTTAAGGTTGCAGCTCAAGATGACCAAATTTTCAACTGAAATATCCATTTCGACTATTCCCAAATCCATTTGGATGATTTTTTTTTTGCATGACATCTGTATGTGTCAAGCACATACAGAAGTCATGCAAAAAAATGTCGGAAGAAAGGACTTTTTATTCCAAAGTAGGCTGTTAAATGGATTCAAAATAGACATTCTCATGTACCTATCTTGTATAACTCAAAACCGATTAGCTGTATAACTTTGAAATCCTTGCATATGTGTTTATAAGATTTAAAAATATAGCTATAAGATTTAATTTTGCACCTCCATATTTTAGTTAATTCAGGAATACCAAAAGTAAGTGTGTGTATATTTGGTCTACCGTTTTTGGAGTAAAACAAACTACAAAATTTTCTTACTGTCAATAAACTTTATTAAGCTATTATTATTAATTACTTCTTACCAGTGTGAGGGCAATTTGTATATCCCATGTTTGAAAAATGTTTTGTCTTTTGATGCGAAAAATTGAACCAGTGCTTGTTTCACATCCATCTTCATTTTCGAATTTTTTGCCCTTCAAAAAATTTTGTAAGACAAAAACAAGTGATAGTTGGAGGGTGCTAAGTCTGGGGAATATGGTGGATGTGACAGAATTTCCCAGCCTAGTTCTGGAATTTTTTGATGAGTTCCCAAACCAGCATATGGCTTGGCATTATCATGATACAGTATGATGTCCTTCCTATTGGACATCCCTGGCCTTTTTTCTTGGACTGCTGTCTTTAAATTATCTAGTT